TTCAACAGTTCACAAAAAAAAACTTGCCTTTTCTCCAACATTATTCTCCTTCCTGATGTCTATTAGTGCTTTACACATTACTTCAATTTCACTTCTGGATAGAAAGCCATCTCCATCAGTATCAAATACCCTAAAACAGACTGTAGAAACAAAAGCTGTCATTTAATTTTTTTTTCTACTAGAATATAATTTATCATTGCTGCGAACAGCATCATGACAGTAATTAATCCTTGTTCTAAAATCATAAGATTAGAATCTTATTGATATCCCAGAAAAAAAGGGTTAAAGATAAGCAATACAAAAATTAACTGAAGTGAAAGCTGGTTGGTTAGGGTGCTTATTATACATCAGGGATGTAGCTGAAGAAAAGTTTTATTTGTCAAGATGGCTTTTTCAGTCAACTGCCTCTTCAAAATTACCCCTTGTTTTTGTTTCTCAGAGCAATTTAGGCTAGTGCTACGCTCTATTTTAGCTGATGAAAAAGGCTATTTTCCAAGTTCCAAAAACTCTCACTAGCGTGCAAAGAAAGTAGTGTCCAATACAGAAGAACTGTGAAATCAATATGCTCCTAAAAACGTTTTTGAGGCTAGGTGAAATAATGTTTGGCTAGTAAATGTTAGCTTCAGCTTGCCCAAAGGGCAAGCTGTAAAAATGACTTTCTTTGCACCCTGTCTCAGTTTCAAACTGAGGCTAACTGCAAACCCTTTCTTTTGAAAATGAGGGGTTTTTTACATGAGAATATAAATATCAATTTCATATCAACAGCTTTCCACTTAGCCTTACTTTGGAACAGAAGCTTGAGGCAACTCGGAAATCGCCAATTAGCTGGCAGCCAGCTCCTGACAACATTCCTGATGCATTTATTAGGTGAACAAATTATTGGTTTGTTATTGAGTTAGTCCACTGACGTCAGTTTTGCCTGATTTGTCGATATTAATTGGTTTGTAAGGTAGAACCATCAGCAGCAATCTAATCAACCAGTGAGTCACTGGTAGTATTCTGAAGAATGCAAAATGCATTCAGTAGAGTTGAGCAGTTAATGCATTGGTTTCTCAGTAAGTGGTTTTCAGTGGTGGGATTGATCACATCACCATTTCTTGTTGCTTATTGGTGCTCAGTCATTAGTGTGCTGAGGTTTATACCATTCTCACAAATGTAAGTACCCTGGTGCGCCGTAGTCACTTAGCCCAGTTGTCGGTGTGTGGGTTTGTGTTTGTCCTTAAATGATTGTTCACAGCTGTCATAAAGTGGCAATCCTTTTGGGGAGGTGTATGTCTGTCTAAGGCTTTAGGGTACATCTGATAGTTTCAGAGGTGCCTGTCTGTTTATATATTTTTTTGTAATGTTAGACAGGGTAAAGTGCCATGGGAAGAAACTTTACTCACATTTTTGCCTTTCAGCATTGGATCCTCTGCAGCACTTAGAGATCCCACAAGCTAACTCACGGAAATCTATGTGACCATCACAGTTTTCATCAAAGGCTTTAAAGAGTCCTATAGATTAATAGCAAGGACATAAACAAACCTACTAAAATGGTAGTTTCAAAGGATCAAACCTTAGCAAGAAGTGAACAGGAATATCGAAAGGACAAATACATAGAGATGTTAGACGGTAGCGCGAAGATATGAATTTTATTTTCAAGCAGCAAAACAACATTTTACGAATGAGCCCAGTGAGTGAGGAAAATATTGTTTTTGCCACGAGAAAATAAAATGCATATCTTCAACCTGCCATGTAATGTTCTTTTCATTATATAAACAAAAAGAGATCGCTAAAATAATAGAGGAAAACTACTGAAATTACGTCATCGATAAACTCACGTGTGAGTAGCCTGAATTTCATCCGATTACTTCTAGTCATTAATTACTCCCTCAGTAACGTCTGAATCGACCGGCCGTTAATGCCGTCCGGTGACGTCACTACTCCTTGACATTTGCTTTAATTCATGCAAAAAGTAAAACACGATTTTCAAGTGTCAAATCGAGAAATATCGTTTGGAAATGTCTGCATGATACAGAATTGCTTTATTTTTTCGATCGTAATTCATGTTTAACATTCAAACTATCAACTGCATGCAGTACAACACTGAACCGGTTGTACTGAATTCTATAATCAAAATCGGTCGCAATCACGCAATGAAATAAACACACACACGAAACACTTAGTTCAAAAACACAATGATATGCTTCAATTGAAAAGAAGCTATTTGGTCCTTAACGAAGAAAAAAACACGGAGACAAGAAAGAAAAGCTAACCGAATCATTACATCTGACGGTGAAAATAGCAAGAAGGTCGAATTATAACATTGATCTCCGAAAACTTCACGTAAACAAAATTACCAGCCGCCAAAACCACAAAGCGGCTCTAAATGAAAAACCTACCGACTTTCCGCAATGATTCTTCATTCACAGTTCAATTTAGTATTTCAGTTTCGAAGACAAGGGCAATTTTGCTGTTTAAGATAAAGATTAAGCTTATCAAAATGTTTGAACTACACGAAAGAATGCCATGCCAGGGATGCAATTGGCTGAATATCAAGCGACAATCCCGCTAAAATTTTTCATAATTATACATAATTATGCGAATGTTTAGACAATCAACCAATCAAAATCACTACCCGGTTTTTGGGTAGTGAGTGACGTCACTGGACGGCATTAACAGCCCGTCGATTCAGACGTTGTTGAGAGGAGAAAACGACTCAAAACAATCGGATGAATTTCAGGCTAACGTGTGAGATTATGGAAAATAAACCACTCAGGCCCCGGACGTAGTTTTTATGAATTTTACGAATGGCATATTTTCCAGTAAAACACTCATGTCTATATAATAAAATAATACATGTACAGGTTAAAAAAACTTTATATATCACCAAAACACCCAGTGTAGGACATTACTCGCAGAGCACCTAATGTCCAATGGCTGACCTTGAATTCTAGTTTTTTTAACACAAAAAGTCATAAAGATTTCCTTGGCTTTTATAGAGAAAAAAGAGCACGAAACAAGACCAATTTTTTCAGCCCCATTATTTAATACCCAGAACACCAAGGCTGAACCAAGGTGAACCAAGGCTGAAAGAACCATACTGTTTTGGTAAAGACTGCAGTTACTTATGAACACTGTTGCACATTATAAAGGTCAATGTAAGACCCAAATTTACCGACTTTAACGGACAGCAGTGCATAACATACCTGGACAGAGACACTTTGGAATAGGTGGTGACACAAGTGGAGTGAATGTCTCCAAGTCAAATTTGCCGGTTTTTGTCCCAGACTTCAACGTCCAGTACCTCTTTTCAAGTTCCATCACATCTATTTCTTGTACTACAGCACCCAAATAGAAAACACAATTATTAAATTACAATTATAACATAACGCGCGTGCTTGCCCTATATAAGTCCTATTGAGCCGCTATGAACAAAATCTTTATTTACGCACGCCCGTGCGTAAATAAGATGACGTGAGCATTTTTTTTTACCCGGCTGCAAAGTTGTCGTCTTTTAAGCTGCAGTGCACTTTTCCTTCTCTTTAAAATATGGAAGAAACCAGCGAAGAACTGCCCAATTTTTCTATCGGCATTGACCTTTTAGGTTCTGATCCAACAAGCAGCAAAAATAAAGCCGAATTTAAAAAGACTTGCAAGTAGCGCGTTTCGCAAATTTGCCGAAGACCAGCTGCAGCAAACTTTGGCCGAAAGACATTCACTGGGAACAGAACAGACACCAGCTGGTCATCGACAACATTTAAAGGCAAAATTTCTGTTTTTATTGTTGTTTTTAAATTTGTTATGCACTTTGTTATCTCCGGACAATCCGACTTAAGCAGGAAAATTTCTCTCACAATAACAACACAAATTACACGAGAAGACAAATTTATTACTCACAAAAACAACTGCTGCCAGTTCTTCTCAAGAAGCCGTAATGACCAGCTAATGTTCGTAACTGAATATGAGTTTAAAGAAGAATGACAGTCGTCTTCGCTAAAAACATATTTTCTGGATTTCGCCGAGCAAAACGTCTGAAACGTAAACATCTTTTCAGCAAATCTAAACCATGCCCCCACGACTTCTTACGAACATGTTAGTGTTTTAACTTCAGGTGAACTTTAAGACTCTTTTACCTTTGTTTCTGCTTAGTTTCCATTGGTCGTTGACGAATAAAGAAGCAAATTTTCTTTCTCACTTTTACAGAAAGAATATTTTCATTCAAACTAGACGATTGTGGCGTGTTCGTAAACAGCCAATAGAACCGTTTGTTATTGTGCTGCGCGTTACGAGAATTTTGCAGTTAATCAAAAAACAATCATTTTTGTCAGCTATGTTATAAAAGAATTTGCTCATGCTTTTAGCTGTGCGTATATCGAGTTATGGATGCACTTGGGAAGTTTGGAGAGCACTCAAGAAGCTAGAGTTGCACTCTGCTATCGCCTCGTGCAACTCTTACGCATCTTTCGTGCTCTCCAAACTTCCCGCGTGCATCCATAACTCGATATACGCACGCTAAGCATGAACAAATTCTTAAGTTTCTATAATTAGAACTTTACCTTGTCCTGAGCACAATTCATTTTAAAAAGGACATTTTTTTTAACCCATTTGCTCCCGGGATTTTTGCCGAAGAATGAACACATAATACCTTTTGTAAGCGATCATGACCACTTCTTGGGGTGATGGTTTTAGAATTCTTTTGAAGTTTTTATCCCCCTGTAGGCGGCCACTTGAGGCATGTTTTACAAGACTATACTTATAGAATGCACAAAACTTTAGGTGACACCATGAAATTACATATTGTAAATTTGTGTATTCTATTCAATGATTATTCTCCTACATAAATTGTGGTTTGAATCTCATAAGTGACCACAAAATCTTTGTATTTTGGGTGGTCACATGACTTTGTGGTCACTTATGGGATTCAAACCACAGGAGTCTCTTCCAACAAGATGTCCAAACCCATCAACATTTTGGAGGAGAATAATCAATGAATACAATATACAAATTCGCCCCACTACAATTTAAGAAATGTATAGGGACAACAAATGAGAATCTGAATTTTGATATTAGGATTTACAGGGGTAAATAGCCAATGTCAAAAGGACTTACAGTGAGTGACACTGGCAAGTGTTTGGTAAAAGGTTGGTGTTTCACTACTGTCTGTCAACTGAATGCTGCAGCCATTACTGATAATCAGTAACCACCTTGTTACTGTGGTCACATCAGGGTTTCTCAGCAACCAACTGGAAAAGTCCTCAAATGACAGTCGATCACACTGAAAAATATAATGCGGACAGTAATATGTCAGGTATAGGTCAAAATGAAACTAAGGTTAAAATGGTTTCAACCTAGATAGATTCTCAGTTTCTTTTGTTTACTAACTATTTACTAGGAGACAAAGGAAACTGAGAATCAAACTAAGTTGCAACCTTTTTAACTGTGGAAGTCGTCTGCCTCGCCAATTGCAGAGCGGTGCTCCCCCCTTTACACAATATGTCTACTTCCTGTGTTTTTACTTAACCCTATACTTTAATTGTAGCTAAGGAACCTCGACATTAACCTATGATAAATCCATAGTAATACAGTGAAACCTCTATTAAGCGGACAACCTCTATTAAGCGGACACTAAGCCGGGTCTCGAAATTAATGTCTTTTATTTCCCTTTATAACGAACCCCTATTCAGCAGACACCTCTCTTAAGCCGATGCGGACACTAAAATAAGTTGTATTTGGCTAATTTCTATTGTTAAAAACCTCTAATTAGCGGACACCGGACTGGATTGAAAATAGTAGTATTGGATTACGTCCTTGAAATACGTACTGAAGTCAGTTAATGTTTTTGGATTTACAAACAAATTAAAGTTGGTACTGAAAGGTAATGAACTTGAACTCTGGATAGCTTCTTTAACAACATACAACTTTATCACAGTACAGAGTAACTGTTGAAAGTTGATTGTTAATAAACATTGTACAATTTTTACAACCTCTATTAAGCCGGCACCCTCTATTAAGCGGACACTTGGGAAGGTCCCGAAGGTGTCCGCTTAATAGAGGTTTCACTGTACATCCATAGTAAACTCTGTAATCATTTTTGCAATAAAAATTGCTGAATAGAGTGATTAGAGCACAGCAGAGGAATTTAAAGTCTGTACTTAATACATTATGAGTCTGATAGTGTCAACATTACTCAGTCTGAACAATGTGCTCAGTGTGTTTTCAAATAAAACATGTCAGGTCACACTGCACATAATTTACACTGGTCATGCTTTACAGTTCTCACGACCCAAAAGAATTTTATTATGAGGTGCACTTTAAATCTCTGGTCTGAAAACAAGAATTCCTTGAATGCTTCCATGAGTAACACTAATACGTTTATGAAAATGAACATGATCTTTGCAGTAGAATGGATAACCTATAGAGTTCATATCTTTATTCGCAGTTCAAATGATGATTCATTTCATATATTTCAATTCACTAATAAGTTTGTTCCTTGATTCAAACATAAGAACATCACACTTCATGAACATCATTCGCACATTTACAAGGGTTATAACTGTAGGAACTAACCAAAGTAACATATGTAAATGCACAGTACAGGGCTTCGAACCCAAAGTGATCATGTGCAACAGAATCAACTTCCCTTTTCCCGGTCACACACTGTAATTTGTCCACACATTTTTTTAACCTTATAAGAACCAATATTATTTTCAATTCCCCAGAAAGTTCAAAGCATGAGGATCTTCTAAACAATCTTTCTGTGCAAATCTATATACGCGAGTAACTGCTATGCTTGTATTGAAATTATGGTTAAGCATACCATACAAAGAAACTACACTTTCTATTGGCGCGTTACATGGGCAAGAAAACAAGTCTATTAGACAATTGTAAGTCTCATATAACCTTCAGCTAAGTATTTCCAAGTATATATATGCTTCAGTGCATTTTAAGTTAAATTGATGACTTCACTTTTTCGAAATAACTTAATGCTACTGAGGGAAAATTCCTGGTTTTGAATGAAAATATAAGTCTAAAACACAAGATGTGAAACTTAGCTGGAGATCAATTCTACGCTAAAAGCATTAACCCAAGAATAAACATGGTTACAATGGAGTTAATACGAAATATAAAGTCACGTATTTGAGAGACAGTTGCGTAGAACAAAAGGACAGCTAAGGAGATTATGATTGCCAGTTAATGTTGAAAACAAGAGAAACAAGGTATTACCTCGTAGAAGCAATCGATCACTGCTTGAGGAATATTACCACCATCACAAGCTAGAATAAGACTCTCCATGCTATCTTTGTGCACGAATACTCCGTCAGAATAAATATTGAAAATAACTAGGAAAAAAAACAAGAACCATAAAATGAAAAAGCAAGATTACATTTGTCAGTGGATTATCTCACAGGACAAAGTGAATCATGATTAATTCAAGCCCTGAAGGTCTCGGAAACCAAACTTACATTTTATCTTTTCTTCACGAGTTCCCCGAGTTAAAAGTACAAGACCACACAGCAAATCCCGAAATGTTATTCCCTTGTTTGTGCCACCAAATCCTGAGTAAATTAGCTGAAAGACAACCGAGATTGTTGTTGGGATCAACTACACAAGGCAAAGAGATGAACCGAAGGAATCACACAGCTTACAACGCACTACTTTTCCTTACCTCAGCGACTTTGCTCGGAACACCATCACCAACTACTTCTCGGGCAAAAACCGTCTGGGGCATGAATCCACTCACACCACAACACCGCTTGAACGCCAACCGTAAGCGTTGCATTTCATCATCAGTAACTGAAACAAGTCCCAAACAAACAAAGGGAAAAATCAGCTGGAATAAACACCGAAAACTTATTCTGTTGACCTGATCGACAGACGGAACAGGTCTTTCAATCGTGACCAGCAGAATACCTACCTCGTTTTGTCGCTTCCTCATACGAGAGGAAGCACAGTTTTGACTCCCTTAGACCCATAATTGACTAGTCTGGTAGTTCCTACATATTGTGGAGGCTGTCGTTGTCCCGATAAAAATTATTAGCGATAAACATTGCACCTTGCAATGTCTTGATCTTAGGCAAAACACACCTTCCTTGATTCCTGCTCGTGACGTTCTCAACTCTGAAGCCTCGTTTCGACGTTTCGCTGTTTCCCTTTTCGCTTGCATTGTGGGTAACAACGGTGCGCGGGAAATGACGCTACAGGTTTTCGAAATGCGGTTTCCTTGGTAATTAATGAACACAATAAAACATACTCTGCTTATTTCTTTTTTTGTGTTCGATTTCTATCGTAAGATTGTTTTATTTATTTATTCTGTACTTATTTTCTGATTTGGTTTATAAACACGTAGAATATCTCGCGAGCTAAGTATCGTCAAGAGAGGAATCCTCTCTTGGTATTGTACTTTTCCAATTACGGAAGACTGAAATTTTCCAATCACCTGTTGACTATCAGCTGCGACTAAAATTCCATTATATTTTTTTCTCTTGTTTTAGCTAGTATGAACAGCTTTCTCAGTCTCTGACGTATTTTTGGACCTGGTGAAACAAAGGCATTGCGTTCGCAAATGTATTTCGTTATAACCGCGAGACTACCTGATCTCGAAATAGTCATGCATGATTAGCGAAAGTGAAATCAATGTCTCGTTTGATTATCTTTGATATTGTTGCTCAAGCAAATACAGTATAGTGCCCTTGACGCAAACAGTGCTTTCGAAACAAAACATGCCAAGTGAGAGGATGCTTTTATCCTCTCTTGATTCCAGACGAAGATGAGGAAATAATCAGAAGCTATAGAAGCAGAGGAGCAGTGAACAGAAATTTTGTCAAATTCAGCTACTGGAAAATGGCTGTCAGATTAAGCAAAACATAGAAAGTAATGGCCTTAAACAGTGAAGGAACGCTTAATCAACACGATAAATACAAACGACGGCACGCCGATGGACAAGTCTGAAGATCAATTCTTAATTACCGTGATTAGGACCGCGTGCACGTTCGAAGAAAAACGAAAAGGAAGTCGTCGTCGTCGTGTGCTTACGTCTTCAATTAACACATAAAACGAGGGAGTGGAATTAGAAATTTCTCGCCATAATCGTGCAGCCAGGCGCGTATCGTAAATTCGCACGCGCGTACAATTAAAAATGTTAAAGACTAATACAACAAAGCAAAACAAAAGCAGGAAAGAAATAACCCGGAAAGGAAATATTAGCGGCAGTCTTAAAAGACAATGAGATTGGTTGACTAAATTTGATGAGAGGGCTGAAAAGGCCGGAAAATCGCGAGTGGGATGAGTTTTGCATCATTCAAGAGAGAACTTTATACGCATTCTTTTTTTATCACCCGCGAGATGAAGAGGCCCAGTTTCCAAGGGATCATCTGCGACAGCAGAAAGTCTAGCGTCGGAAAGGATCTAGAATTGTGTTACCTATCGTAACACAAACTTCACCAATTGTCAGTGAAGAGAAAGCTAGCCAGCGCGTGGCAGACATTTGAAGAAGAAGGTAGTGAAAGTTTTTTTTGAAAAGCGTTCTGCGCGCCACACACGCTATCAGAAAGCTAACTAACTGATGCTCTAGTACTTATTAGTATTTTAAAGTACCCAAAAAGAAAAGAAATAAAAAAGGGATTATAATTAAGAAACGCATGTGGAGACGATTCTTTTAAGAGGGAGAAGGGTGACTCTTAAAAAACTTTGCGTGACCCTATTAGCTAAGTAGGGAAAAGGAGGAGGGCCATACACACAGTCCCAAAGACTCTTACTATAGTGGCCACTCCCATCTCCTAAGGAGCAGGGCCAATCCATTTCAGGCCAAGGACTCCCTTAGTATTCGGTCGGATAAATAGAACTGTCTAATTCACTTACAAATTACTGAATGGAATAAGCAATTTTTGGATCAAAGGACTTTTTAATCAACGCCCCGCTTTTTTTATTGTTCAAAAAGGTTGAGAAATACTACTGAGTTTAATACGAAAAACGTCAGCTGTGCCTAGACGTTTGCGTGCAGCATTATTTGGAAAACAAGCAGTTTTAAACCGTGGTACCCCCTACAGCACTACGAAGGCTACCAGTCGGGGAAAGGTTACACAAGGGAGCTAAAGCAAAGGCGTTTTTAAGCGAGTGCATTTTCCTTTTAAAAAGCCTTGACGGAACTAAATTCATATTTTTAAAAATCTTTAGTCTTACAAAGACGATTTGGTTGTGAAAACGCCGGGTAAATTCTCAGCCCGAGAAAGCAAAAAGCGCTGCACTTCCGGTAGATATGCGTCGCATTGACATGCGTCTTTGCATAAGCTACTACCTTGATGACCGGCGACGTGGACGAAAACTTTATGCTCTCAATTCATCCCAAGTTCTTACATTACTAAATGAACAACAAGGAGCTCCAAAATGTTACAGTTCCCCGCCCCTATTTAGAGCTGCCACAGAGCAAAGAACTTCCCATCATAGAACTGTTAATAGATCATGTGCTGGTCAATCAAAACCGATTCTAAATAAAATCGGTGTCAGGTTTGTAAATGGGTCCAAGTTTTAGAGAAACTATTTAGAGGTGATAAAAACGCGTCTGTTTGAGTTCCAGGAATGAATTTCTCAGACAATGCACGCATTCGACAGTAACCCTTTAAGCCATAAGATCAAAGTTATTTCTCATTTGTTGTTCCCATTTTTTTCTGTTGAAGTAGTGGGGAGAAGCTGATAACATATCAAGCAAATTCAACTTGTGAGATCATGTCCTCAGTTCGAATGACCAATCTACTTTACAAAGCTCTGATATGATAAGGAGAAATTTGATATTGGTCATTCTTAAGGCTTAAAGGGATAAACGGTATATATACAGGTATTATATGAGTAGCCTGTGGCCGGCGTCGAAAGGGGAGGAGGGAGGAGAGAAACGAGACAGGGGATATGAGAAGGAAGGAAAGCTTCCAGCCCCCCCAACCCCACTCCCCTTCCATTTTTGCGCCTGCCGACCACGCTAAATATAACCATCACACCTTTCTTGTCTGATGATTCAAACTTTGTCAGGAGCCTGTAATCGGCTACTGGTTTTTATTTATTATAGCTTTACTTTGTTACATAAAGACAATGGTTATTTCAGACACGCTGTTTTGTCACCGCGTTGCTTTGACGAACGCTTCAGCATGGTCCCTCAACAAGTTTTACATCATCCAATGCAATGTCGCCCTGCGCATTATCTCCACGAGTACCCTCAAATATAAGCTGCAACAGAATACAAGCAAATGAAAAGTATATTCTAAAAGAGCGATAACAAAAGAAGCCTGAGAAAACAGCCGACATTTCGCGAAGCTACCACTGGTTTCCGCGAAATGACGTCTGAGAAACGAACGCAGAAATTCCATACTGATGACGCGTCACTACACAGATCTAGGTACTGCTTCTGATTGGTCGTGTCGCGGGAGAAATTTACCTCAGCCAATCAGAAGCACTACCCTGGTCTGGGTTCTGAATGACGCGTCATCAGTGTGGAATTTCTGCGCTCGTCTCTTAGACGTCATTTCGCAGGGAAACCAGTGGTGGCGTCGCGAAATGTCGGCTGTTTTCTCAATCAAGGTATATCTGTTACGAGCCGATTTCCTTGTATCTGTCAATTTGGTTAAATCACTTCAAGTGGACTGACTGTGCGGTCGAAGATACCCCAAAAGCTGCCAATATTTACAGCCAAAACTTGAAACAAGACTTTTGAGATCTCACTACGACTGGTCGAAGGTTTCCGAAACTCAGCCAAAGTCAACGAAGGATTTCCGAACTAACGTACGTGTATTCGACGCCTATCTGAAGAAGTGCAAGAAAAGGGTTTCCGACTTATCTACGAAGATCAAAGGGCCTTTGCTCGCAGGGTAAGAATAGGGTATCGTTAAACGAGGACCAATGAATTTTGAATTACAATAGAGTACTAAAGTGATGACGTCATAAAATGAAATTTCTGAAATTATGGGATTTGTCAGGAAATTCTGAAAGAACAATGTCCAAAGGCCTACTTACCAAAAATGAGCATTTCGGGGCAAATTGTCTCTGAGATGTTAGCCGGTTATACTCAGAAAACTCCATACAAACCCTTGTAATTTTTTGGGTGTCGACCAAAGAAAATTTAGAAGGGTTTGTATTGAGTTTTCTAAGCATAACTGGGCTACGATCTCAGAGACAGTTTGCCCCGAAATGCTCATTTTTGGCAAATCCCATAATTTCCGAAATTTCATTTTTATGACGTCATCGCTTTAGTACTCTATTGGACTGAGCCAAAATGTGTCGCGCAATTGTTTCAGGGATCATTGTTGGGGACGCCGGTCAGCTATTAGTCAATATTTTTCCCTGTCCCTAGTAACAGTCCCACAATTCTTTGTGAAAGTTAACGCGGCAGAGTTTCCTTCTAGTTTCTAAATTTGCGAATTAAGGCCAATAGGATAGTAGGATTTAGTTTATAGCCTTCTAAGATAGCTGCAAAGGAAAATGAGTTCCTTGGTCTTATTAGAAGATCACTGAAACCATGCAGCGCAGAGGTTATAGAGAGAGCTTATATGACACTGGTTAGAACTACGCTTGAATATGCATCCTCTTTTGGAATCCTTATACTGACACTGACATAAAGCGTATTGAGCAAATTCAGAAGACTGGGGCTCGCTTTGTATTCAACGACTATGACATTGCAACAAGTACTTCTAGCTTTGTTAAGTCCTTAGGCTGGGTTCGCTCGACCACAGGCCGGCGTTTGTTCAACCAATCAGTGCTTTTTTAGAAATTTCATAATAATTTAGTAAACTGCCAAACTCCTAGTCCGCAGTTAAATCTACCGACAAAATCGGGTCTACTAGATTTCACCAACTTACCTATTGCCAAGGCGAATGTCTCAGCTTTCAATTATTCATTTTTCCCAAGGGTTATTAGAGTCTGGAGTCTGCTCCCTTATGGAGTTACGTCATCTTCTACATTAAGCTGTTTTAGGCAGTCTGCTTTGCCTGCCATTAGATCACTTAGGGTGCCTTCACATCTGCACAAGCTGTAACCGCTGATCTCTATCTTTTTCTATCTTTTTGGGAGTATTTATTCCATGTTCTAAGATTTACGTTCTAAGGTTGCAAATACAGGCAAAAAATGGTAATGGTATAGGCTACGGCATGTGTTAGTCTTAGCAAAACTCCTTCTCTCAAAAATGCAGAGTTAAACCCGCCCGAATCTGAAAATATTATTACCTTGAAAGGCCTGTTGCGCTTGTGTTTCTTCACATTAACCCCTTTGTATTGCCAGTTACTTCCTCTGTTGCCTACTTTTCTAAAAAGCTCCCATCGTCTACCTTTTTTTCCTCTTGTAATAAAAACACGGAATGATCCCATTCCATTACCATACATGTGATACCAGAATTGAAGGCATTTGGCCGTGTCACCAGGAAACTGTTTGCTTATCAGCTCGCCTCGATGGCCACTTAGCTGATTGGCGGCGTTCAAGTAAATATAACTTCCTAGAAATGATATCATAAAGTCAAATCAAACTGGGCTTTAATTTGATGAATAAATAAGAGGATTTGGTACCCAGGTGCAGAGTATAGCAAATAAAGAGTAGGTAGATTTATGATTTTACGAAAGACAAGACAGACAACGCAACGTCAAATAAGAACGCGAAAAAGGGCGAAAAGGATTGAACGTGACTTCTCAGTACTCAATTTGCCGATCCTCTCTTTGCACTTTATCGCTTTCAAACGAGAGAAATTTTTGCAAGAGCTAAGAAAATTCTTCAAAGCTAAGGTCGTTACTTTAATTGTTCAAAGTCTGAGATTTTACTGTTGATACGCTGTTAATTTCAGAACTAAAAAATTGCTAAAAAATGTTCTAATTACAGTGTATCTAAAAACTGAAACTGGTGTTACGATCGGAGCAATTTTGCCAGCGTTTTCAACGAAACCAAGCTCAATATTTAAGATGGTTATAATAACTAATCACTTTAAACATCCTTGCCCATGTTTGTTCTTGCTGGTTAATGAAATTCTAGAGAATAAAACAAGAAAACAGACGCCTTGGACGTTTGACCACCGTGTTTCTACCACTGGTCAAAACGGGTTTTAGTTGTTATTAAGTCGAACATATCTATACATTGACTCTTGTTAAACCTCTCTACAACGGCCACTTTCTTCTGTCCCCAAGTTGGCCGTTGTGCCCGGGGGGGGGATACTTCCTTATAAGAGGCTAATGGGGATGTGCTGGATGTGGTCGCATTTTAACGACTGGATTGACTATAATGGGTTGCATTTTCAATAGGGTCACTAGAATGGGGTCGCACATTTTCGGATTTTTTGGGTAAGACAGTTCTTTATATTTACGGTTAGCAAACGTACCAAAATGTTTGTACTACAGATGAAAAGTAAATTGTTTTTCACTCATTCTAAAAAATGGGTCAATTTATAGAAATAGAAACTTAAGTGACTAAGTTGGGATCGCGAAAATTACACAATTGCCCAAAAGTGACTAAGATGGGGTCTATAATTGCCCACAGAATAGACTTTAGTGGGGTAGGGGCTCTGAGAGGCCAGCAGCACTTACCCAGCAAAAATTAACCCAAGTACCCCCCCGGGCCGTTGTGGAGAGTTCAACTGTATTACGTTGCCATTGTTAAAGCTACCTAACAGAGAAAACACCCAACTGACTACGCGGAGGAGGGCGACGTGAACGACTTCGTTCATGCTAAGAACTACCCCGGAAAGAAATCAGTGGTAGCAAGGTAAAACATTTGGAAATGTTGCTGTTAGAACCTACTGCCCTCTTCTTTACCTTGACCGCTAGTATGGTCGTTGGCGGGTCCTGTGTTAGAAGAAAGAGTAGCTCCCTTGTTTAGCTGCCAGTCATAACTGTTGCTGGGACGGTTAGTCCAGTCGCACATGCTACTACCATCGAAGTCACAGGAATCTAGAACTGAAATAGTAACATCTTCTTTAAAATTCTTCTTTTACACACAACTCTCTATTAACTCAAAGCACGTCAATGAACTCACATACTTATATCTCAATAAACACTGCGGAAATACGCACATAAGAACCACGGACTTTTGGTGGCACTCTCAAGATCGTCTGGGGGTCTGAGCACGAGGACCAGGAGGCTCTGGGGACAGGGGATTTGAGGTCCTAGATTTTAGGACTTCCGGTCATTTCCGATACAAAAGTAAGTTGGAGGATCCTCTTTTCAAAGCTTTGAATCACCTAAATTTTTATTGACTCTTCGGCAAGAGTAAGTGCACGCTATTAAAAACGTTGTAAAAAATCAGAAATGACCGGAAGTCCTAAAATCTAGGACTTCAAATCCTGTGTCCCCAGAGCCTCCTGGTCCTCGTGCTCAGGCCCCCAGAAGGCTCTGGGGACTAGAATGGATCGTCTGGAGAATTGGCCTTGGCCAGGAGCCCATAACCCGGAGCGAGCAACTCCCATACCAGGCCTATGTCACGGCGTTTTTACGGACTAGTTTATTTTAAGACACATTTTAGGGCACTTTTTCCCGCGAAAATAGAGGGCGCTTTCCATTTAGTCAAAATTTCCGGAATTTCCGGTTCGGCGGTAAATGGAACACGTTTCGTCGGTTCGTCCCACTGGAAAATTCCCAGAAAAAGTGGAAAATCTAAAAAGGTGGTCCCGTTTTCCCGGTTGGAATTTCCGAACGGAATGTCGTGTTCCATTGACGTTTCTTGCAGTTTGTACCAGTTCCAGATCCACGGTCGGGCACCCGGCCACGTACCGGGGTTTACGACCAAATGGAACAACTTTTTACCAATCGGAAATTCCACTTTTGCTACCACCGAAACTTCCAGGTTTTTTTCGTAAATGGAAAGCGCCCAGAATCTCCACCATGTCTATGAGCGCATTCGAAGTATACGATATCAAAAAGGAAAACTAACCGTTATTGAAAGGCAAAAAGTATCATTTTTTGGTCTGTAGGTTTTGCTGACTGGTTTGTGGAATTTAAAAGATATTCCAAATTCGCGCCAAAACCGTTCTAAAAATAAACTGGTCTGTGAAAACGCCGTGACACAAGCGCGTGGAAGTTGCTCGCTCCGGGTTATGGGCTCCAGCCTTGGCCCCAAGCCTCCTCCATTTACTCACAAAGCGCCTTTGGGGCCTAAGGAGAAGGATAAGGTTCTTGGTCATTTGGTTAAATTCGAGCCCAGCTAGATATCCGCAATGAATGATTTTCCAGTAATCGGAGACTTAGTTATGCGCACAGGATAATGGGATCGCCAGGGGGCAAACATTGCAAGTCGCTACAAAGAAATGTAGGGCGTGAAGCTGTTTCTCCGTTTAAAAGCAGTGTCTTTCACGGCAAAGTGCGGCATTCTATGCCCAGAGACTCTGCTTTTAACGGAGAAACAACTCCACGCCATACAATTCTTTGTAGCGACTCGCAATGTTTTCCCCCTGGCGATCCCAAAATCCTGTGCGCAAAACATGAGTATCCGATTACTGGAAAATCATTCATTCCTTATATGCGTGTTTTAACTGCGCATTGTTTCTAAGAATAGACGAGGAGAACCAACAAGTAAAGAGATCCTTAAAATTACCTAAAACATTGAAACAAGTAAATACATCGACATCCACACTTTTTCACCCCCTACTCGAAATCAACCAATCGCGAACAACAACAAAAATTATTTACCTACAGATGACGTTGTCGGGGGTAATGTTGATGTGGGCGTTTGTGTAGTTGTCGGTTGTTTTGTTGTTGTGGGAGCTTGTGTAGTTGTTGGTTGTTTGGTTGTCGTAGGCGCCTGTGTAGTTGTTGGTTGTTGGGTTGCTTGTGTAGGCTCAGGACACTTCTTAAATGCTATGTCATCGACAGAAATGTCGCCTCTGAAGTCTCCACCACGTTCACCTTCGAAATAAACCTGAAAAAAAAAAAAGAAGAAAAATTTACTGTCTTGAACCATCTCATTGACCATATCACTACTGAGACAAACTATAAAACAACCCTAGCTGCTGCATGCGATCATGATCATTATCCGCGTCACAATCATCATCATTATCGCTATCACCACTGACGTAATCTGTATCTCATCATCGTAAACATCACCGCTGTCACTGAAATATTTTGATGGGATCATATGCCAAAACAAAGTAACTGTTCTGTTTTTCATTTGACATGATAAACAGAGAGCTCTATAGTGCATCCGACAGATCGTCCAGTGGGGATTTACGCAATAAAACGGTAGACGCATTTTTCACGTGAACGGATTATGCGTATTGAGGATAAAAAACGACCATGGTCACAATAAGTATCATCATTTTCATTATGATTATAAGGCGATGTCGACATTATAGCAGATAGCTCTTGCGCTGGTACAAAACCATACGATGAAAACGAATAATTCACACATAAGAACAGTGATTTCGGCGCGATTTCCGTAAGGGTGGATTTCTAGAGTCCCGTAATTTTTACGCTCGCACATGCGTAAAATTTACATCAGCAAATAAAATAGAGGCAATGCATGAAACGTCGCACGTAAGCTTAAAAGTTGAACCTCGATCAACTTCACGTTTAAGCTTAACACTTAATATCTCGCCTCTATTTTATTTATGTGATTAAAATTTACGTGCGCGTACACGCACGTAAAAATTACGCGACTGTGGAAATCCACCCTAATGGAGCGAACCTGCCCCGCGTTGATCTCGATATCGGATAGGTTCTGTGCCACACTTTGGTGTTCTGTGCCGGGTGCAGTGTGAACAGATATGGACTGGAATCTACTAAGACGGAAGTAAATATTCAGAAACGAGGACTGGAATTTAGTTTTCCTAACCCTCTCGGCTAACTGCTCCGAACGATGATCAATATGTGTGAACGACTTGCTTCAGCTCTGTGTTGTTGTCGTTCATACTATACCGGATAGAGCGATTCTCGTATGACCTTGAAATAAAAACGCGCGAATAGAACAGAAACAACAATTGAACGGAAATAGAGCGATTTGACTGGTTTATTTAACGGATACAAACGCGCTTGGCTTTTAACTGGTTAAGCGAACGCTTTGGTGAAAAAACTTCATGTCCGAGAGCTTTCTAGAAATCAATCGATACTTCGCTTTGTCGTCATACTGCAACACGATTGGCCAATCGAACAATGCCTTCTCCATACTAGGGAGTCTATGTTTTCATGTTTTCATCCACTGGCTGATAACAAATAACGAGCACTTACCGAAACCATTTTTCAAGATCATACGAAAATCGCTCTAGCTTTTTGTGTTGGCACGAAAGGACGTGTTCATGGTGTGAACATAGCCCTAACACTTTAAGCCCCAATATCCACATGTAAATTCTCGAAACTGATCTCCATTCGTTTACTTTAAGAATTAGTTGAAAGAATTTGATAAAAAATCATGGCATTTTCTCTTTGATGATCATTTTATTAATTCTCATAACTTTATCTCTTGACAATGTATGGATATCGTTAGGGGAAAATTTATGTTGGCCACTACTGGGACTTAAAGGGCGGAAGTCATTATGGATCATTATAAGCTTCAGGGAAACTGCCCACCTACCCCTCCCTTAAGCCAACATTTTGCCCAAAGTGAGAAGTAAGTGTTAATGTTGGCTTAAGGGAGGGGTTGGTGGACAGTTTCCCAGAAACGTATAAAATAACGATGACAATTTCTCTACCTTATACTGTGAGTCTTCTTTGATCTCTACACTGGCTTGGATCCATTGATTTCCCTGTTCACCTTTCTTTTCCCAAATAGTGCTCAATGTGCCATCACTGAACTGCAACTTGACCCTAAGTGCACCGATTCCTGACCCAAGCATATGGTACCAAAATGTAAGGCTTCGACATGATTCCACAGGAAGGTCCTGACTGTAAAAGCAATTCGTTTGCCCTTGCTGGGCGGGCGATGAAGCCTCGAAATACATATAATTTCCTGATAGTGGCAATAAAAGAACAGTGGTACCATGTTTTATTTTTATGGAATATATAATGGCCATAAGATAAATTTAAATGTTATTGTTACTTTATGTATGTAGCCTGCATGGCAGACGTTCGAAAAGGAAGAGGGAATAGGGAATTCGAGCGCGCGAGAACGTGAAGGGCACCCTCGCGTACACGCGCGCCCTAATTCCTCCTTTATTTTCCCCTTGGAACGTCTGCCACGCATGTTACACTTTAGATGCTCATTGTTAAACCATTGCTATAGTTACAAGTAGAGTTGAAGGGTAAAATATGAGAAATTCGTAAACAGTAGATTGTAGGTTATCTAGAGTATATTCTACATCTTCTCCTCTTTACAGCCTGTTTTCAAATCATAGATGACTTCATGAGGAAAAATGCCAAGCGCTAGCTCGAAAGCAACAAAAAGTGCTAAAAATAAATAAAATTGACTGATGGGAAATCAATTCACAGCGTGACTAACGCAGTGCTTTCTAGTCCATTCTTCCATGCGATATTAGGAGACGACTTGAGTTAAGTTACCTGAGCCGGAAGTATGGTCACCATTGGGTCCTGTGCCTGAACTTCCGGTTGGGCCACTGTGATAATACCAGCGGGGGTAATTACTTGGATTACATATAGTCCAGTGGCACAATCCACCTGCTTCAAACTCACAATCTAAAGGACCTGCCGATTGAAATCACAAATGCACGGGGAGAACATATGAATAGGCCGCAGCTTTATGGAGTCCTAACGTAGCAAAGAGTCTCTGTTTTTTTGTATGTGCTATTCATTTGAAGAACTTTCGGCAAAAGAACGGCTCAATCTGAAACCGGCTTCAAGAACGAGTCAGAACGACCTACCCATCAAGACGTAGTTAATCGATAAAAATCAATGTCGGAAATCACTCGATATCATCGGTATTAATCGTCTTATTCTGCCGATTCATATCGATTGATATCGGAAATCGGTAGAAATCGAAATTACAGAAAAAATAATTTATCGACTATTATCGATAAACAAAATCGGTAACCTTAATCTTGCTGACTAAATGCGAAAGTACTTTTCTCAAACTCATTAATAATTCATTAAGAAAATACAAAGGAAATTAATGTTTAATGAGTGTTTGGAAATCGGATGAAACACTGCTTAGTATTTGCGTCCTTAATTTCTCCTTCAAAAATGATTTTGTTTGAGAAGAAATATCAAACATTCGACACAGTGTTTCATCACCAGATGAAACACCTCGAATTTCGTCAAAAATACTCCGCTGCGCGTCGTATTTTCAACTCTCTTCTTGGTGTTTCATCTGGTGATGAAACACTGCATCTCATGTTTGATATATTACATATAACAACAACAACAAAACCCACGGTCTTACCCAATCCGCATCGCTGCATGACACATTGACCGACTTCCTGACTTTGGCCTTCACAGTCCTTTCCATTATTCTTGGGTTCTGGATCATCACATTTTCTCGTCCTTTTATAGGTTCCTGTGTCACATGTCACGCTACAGGAAGACCACGCAGACCACCTTCCCCAGTGTCCATCTAATGGTGCTAAGATGCATTCAACCACCAAATTTATTATTCATTCACTATTAATTATTTACTTTTACGCTTAGCTGGCGACTGATGATTGGCTTTTACTTTTGACTGTTAGTAACTTGAGTGAGAATGGCTAAATAAGGGCAAGGACAAAGATAAAAAAAAGCAAGGGGCACAGATAACCCAACTCACGGTCTGGCCAGCACCTCACACATGCGCACTGATGATAACAACAGTGATAATTATAACATTAATGATGATGGTGATGACCATATTGGTGACGACGAAGGAGTTGATAACAAAGTTGATGACGATCATGTTAATGAAGGGCCGTAATGATCATAACAATGATAATCATCGTAATGAACACAATGGAAATTGCAATACTGACAACATCAAAATACAAGAATACCAGAACAGCATAACACGCTCGATATTCGATATTCCTCTATTGGATTGTGTTTGTGTGTTTTTTGCTTTAATTAATTTTTTTTTTGAGTTTTTGTTTTATGAATTTTTAGCGTGAGTTTTATTCAATGAGAACAACTAAGCGTATTTAGTTACCATAGCACTTTTCATCCGGGCACTTTTCAGTCTCAGTTTCAACACCATAATAGTCGGCTCCGGGGCAGTTGGCAAGGTCATGTGACGCGCAAAAGCGTTGACGACTATGATAGCATTGACTGTCGCACGGACCGAAATCTGTCCAACCACTCCAACCACCACTGGGACCTGGGAATGAGAGCAACTCACGTGACGATTATCTTACAAAACTATGCTCAATGAATAGCATCAGACATTCTGAATTTTTCTACATAAGACTTAAAGTTTAATCTGCCTGTTGTTCTCTTGTAGCTGAAACACTACAGCCAAAAAACTGCCAGTGAAGTTTCTTTTGACAGATTACTCCATAGGATTTCATCCACATACTCAAAAGTTAGAACCACGTTCTAAATAAACAGTACCGTGTTCAGAAAAGTACTGCCTAAGAGGTTTTTGAAATTTCACTTGAATAGTAACAACAACATAGGACTCCACAGTATCAAAGGTTGTTACCACGTACTAAAATAAACACTACTGTGTTAAAAGCTGTCAGACTGAAGTTTCATATGAATAGTAGCACCTTATGATTTCGCCCACAGGTTAAAAACCTTGCCTTGGAGTGAAACTCAATGGATATTACCTGAACAGTCGTACAGCGCATTAAGCTGGGCAATGTCTGTTTTGCTGAAACCGTTCCGCTGACCAAGCTGTTTGTCAGGGTTGCCGAGAGCTTGAATCGTTGGTTGACCATTCGTTGAAAAGCTGATTTTCCCATAATGCATTATGCTTTCTGTATCATAAACTTCACTTAAGTAGTCAATTTCATTGAGATTGTATTTGTCGAAATTGTGTTCTTTACCTGGAAGACAAATTTGTTGAGGTTAGAGAGTTTCGATGGATCTGAATACTACCTTTATATGACAACAAACATCTATCATCTGTGTCCTATCACGACGTGAAGTTGGTGTCAACTGGAAAAAACACTTTTTTAATAGGGATAGTATCCTTATTCTACCCCTATCTCTGTCAATACGACGTCTGGTATATCGAGTTATTAAAAGAGGGCAAGTGCGTTAACCCTTTAAACCCTAAGATCAAAACCAAAATTCTCATTTGTCGCCTCTATTCATTCACTACAGAAGCAGCGGGGAGAAGTTGATAAAATATCAGGCAATTATATGTCTTGTGTAACCATGTCTTTAATTCTTATGACCACTCTGCTTTACAAAGCATTGATTTTACAAGGAGAAATTTGATGCTGATCACCCTTAAGGTTTAAAGGTTTAAGCAGCGTTCACACTTGATACCCGGGCACGGTGCCCGAGTACGGTACTCGCTGAGCACTAACGTGAACACACCCATTTTTCAAGTACTCACGCTAGAATTCGGGCACGGTGCGGCCGGTTTGTACTCGGACACAATAGAAAGCTTAAGCAACAAGGACGGCGACGGTAACGAGAACGGCAAAAAAGCAATAGGTTTGTATTAGCAAAACAACAACTATGCACGGGTATCGCGCTTCTTGACTGTCGTTACGCGACTACAACATGAAAGTGCCTAATTTCACATTTTGTCGAGGACAGGAACACAAGACAACAACTTTATTTTTCTTTTCCTGAACTTTGATAAAGTCCTTTAGAATTGAACTCCAAACTAAAAAAGCCATGATTTGACGAATGAAACCAGATGGAATAAGCGCGATTAAGTTTGAGGCAGCGCAAATTCACTTTTTAAGTGACGTTTTCGTAGCCGTCACCGTCGTCTTTGCTTAAGTTCCCTAATAGTGAGCACAGGGTCCCTGTGTGCAACTGTTTCTTGTTAGTTCTGGGGTATGTACTTCACTGCTTTGTACTCCTACTATGGTCATGTTTCAAAATGGCGTCTGATAGGACGAAATGGAGTACCTATGTAGACAGTCACATATCGGGTACTCAAGGTGTGAACACAACACCATTTTGTGCCGCGGGTACCCAGGCACTGGCCATGGTTCCTGGGAACAAAGTGTGGACAACACATCAATTCAGTAACCAACGGTTGCACTGAAAACAAGGTTTTGATAGGGGTGCTTATTCTCGCAAGTTCACAAATCTGGTTGTGACAATATAACATCGACCCAGGGGAGGTTTTGTGTCCAGCGGTTTTAGTGAAAACAAGGGTTTGTGGGGGCTGCTCAGTCTCACGGGCTCACAAAACCTTCCTTAGGTCATCTTATCAAGTGTTTTTCTCGTTACCAGGCTGAATATTCTCCCACATTATTTCGACGTACTGGTCACGATCATAGCGTGACTGCTCGTGCCAGAAACCAGCGGCATGCATCATTTCATGCATGATGACACCCTGATGGTTACAGCCGTTTCCTAGGGAAATATCCTGGGACCCAGTCTTCCAATAATGTACTCCGACTGAAGAGTAGCACCTGGAGTGGAGATGAAGCAAAGAAAATGTCACCTTCATGAACTATTTCAATTTACAATCCAGACCTTGGGATAAGGAGGGCCGGTCATCCAGACCCTGAGATGGGGAGGGAGGAGGGGTGGTCTTCAAAAACGTGTTTTAGGCTTGGTCTATAAATAAGGGGGGGCGGCCCCCCCAGGCCCCTCCCCTGGATCCGCCAGTGTATTTTGCTACAAGTAACAGGAAGGAAACTCATGCTTGGAATGAAACGTCCACACCAGAAGGAAATAAAGACTGTGAATTTGCGTTTGTTACGATGTGTGATTATGAACTTTGTCAAGAATCGACATCAGCTTGTAGGCCAAATTATTTTAAGGAAACAACGCGCATTCCGTAAAAATTTGACTGAAACTCGGCTCAGCCTTCTGGTTCTCTCTGGTTTTCAAGCAAAGAACGAATCGATTTCCTACTATGCTTGTTTAAAGTACCAAGAGTGTTCGGATCTCAAGTTCGGATCAGATTAGGTTTCTGAGAAACTGCCCACCTACCCCTCCCCTAAGCCAACATTTTGCCCGAAGTGTGAAGTAAGTGTTACGTTAGCTTAGGGGTGGCACAGAATGGTCACGTCAGTCATTTGCTAGCTCAAAGTAAACTAACTGACGCCGCGATTGTAAGACAAAGTAAGTAACTTATTTGACAATAAATATAAAAAGAAAAGAAAGGGAAAAGAAGGAAGTATTGACAGAATTGGACATGAATAGACCTTATTCACGATGCCCGCCATCTTTGCACGCGCTTAGGCTCGATGGGATAGAAGTGATGTCACGTGTTTTCTCAGGGGGCAAACATGTGATAAATTTTTCCAATACCAGAAATCGCGGTCGAGTTTGTTTTTTCTCCCCACCAGAAAATGAACAACTTTTTACGTTAAAGACGATAATGGTAAATTATGGGTGGAAGTGATCATTTTTACTTTTTTGGATACAGTAGCGAACGTAGATGTCCTCCCAGCAAGCATTAATGACGTTAATTTTGTCGAAACTCAAGCCGTACATTTTGCATGACTATTAACTCGTCGTTTTGTGTTTTGGAGAATAAATAAAGTCGACTGCGATCTCACGCATTGGCAAATTTCATCTTTTGTTTGTTCCCTGAAATACCACGTGACATTGCTTTTATCCCATCAATCCTAAAGCGAGTGCAAGGGTAGTGGGTATCGTGAGTAAGGTCAAATGATATGGGATTGTTGTTTTCTTTTTTTTGGGGGGGGGAATTTCGACCTAGTTTCCCGGGCAACTTCAATTTGAAACAACATCGATCTAGTGTTGTGCGCAACCTCAGATTGCCTACTGTTACTGTGTTTAGTCTGCGCGAGGTGCACAGTCGACTATATCTTAACAAACACCTCTATAGGACGGACACCTCGGTAAAACGGACACCTAGATTTGGTCTCTGCCCTTCTTTACTCCCTTTATTTGACTCTCTGAAGACTCACATCATTCTTAGACCAACACTTAGTGCCCCTCCAAAAGGTGACTGCCTTAAAGAGAATTGACTGTATTGTGAGTGTAACACAGTACGGATGCACTACCCATCATGGCCCAGTTACTCAAAGGGTGGATAACACTAACCACTGAATAAATCTCAATCCAGTGGATAACGCAATTGTTTTCCCTAATACCTATCCACTAGAGAGTGGTTTGACCGGTAGGTAGTGCTATACAACTATAGAATACCTGTAACCTGCGTAGCATGGCGGTTTTGGTCGAGCGGGCTCACGGATCACGTTAGGTTTCTAGGAAACTGCCTACCTACCCTCCCCTAAGCTAACATTAACACTTACCTCTCAGTTAGGGCAAAATGATAGCTTAGGGGAGGGGTAGGCGGGCAGTTTCAAAGAAACCTAAATTGCTACACTGGATAGTGCTTTGTCCAGTGGATAGGGCAATGCAACTTTAGAACACCTGAGGCCAAGCAATACTGGTTATACACACCCCGATTTCTTCACAAAGGTTACCCATCTCTCTTCATTTTCACGAGGCTTCCATGTAATACAGGTATGTTGAGCGAACTGATCAACTGCAGCTTGGATTGTTGAACCATATCCCTCACTCACTGTCATCGGAGATAAATATTGAAAAACAACTCCAATCAGAACAAACTAACGGACACATTGATAATGATAATAAAGAGAAAAAAGTAACGAGTTTGCTTTGGAGTGATGTTATATAGCATCGTGCGCAGCCTACCACTCCCCACACCGGTAAGACGTTTGTGGCGTTCAAACAGTTAAATTAACTGTCTCTTCATCTATCACAAAATAACGCGATTCTTTTTATATTGGCAAATGGCGCTGGTAGTTCTCCAGTTTCGCTCATCTGGGTAGCTGGCTGTTTTGTACGTGGGGTAGGAGCGAAAGCCGAGAGGAAAATGAGGCTCTCAATTGTGCACTCTCCAGGTAAAACTGCTAGCTACTCAGGCTAGTTTAGCTATTAAAACACTTCTTGACCTAACCTGAGATAAGGCTCTATTTTCGTTTCGCTTTGAAAGAAACATTCCGGCGGGCAAGGCGAAACGAAAACCAATTTTAGCGGTAGCCGTTAGAGGGAATGTATGAGAACAGCTAAGATTGGGCCTGATCTCAGGTTATTCTTGACCGCGACTTAGGGATTTGGTGGTCTTGGCTGTCTCCTCGGTGGAGAAGACTCTGGGGAGAGGGAAAAAAAAGAAAGTCTTTTGCCTCCTCTATCTTCTCGCGGCGCACTTTCCATTTTTTAAAATTCTAATTGAAATACCAGCGGGAACCTCTGTAGCCTGTTCCAGGCTCCGAGATAGTTGGGTCCACTGAATTGAGAAATCACGAACACGAAAATCCCGGATCATATCCTCATATTTTCGGGCGCCTTTCACTTACGCGTCATCCCTACCATTTTATGACAGCCTGGAACAGGCTAGAACCACTGTTCTAGGAGAGAAAGAGGAATAACTGACACGCAAGTTACACTAAGCATTACTCAAGACCCTCTCGTAGCAAAAATTTTAAGAAAACGAATTACCAAGTTGGCTGTCGATCACGTAAGGAATTATCTTCTTCTTCCAGATGTAGTGTCTCCGTCTTCTCGCATTCCTCCTTTGTCGTAAATCATCATCACTTGGCCTGTCTTTATCCAGAAGAATGTCGCCCTCGTATAGTCCTGGCTCAACATCCTCAACTTCGAAACATTAAGATATCATGAATTATTAACGTTTATTCCATGATCCCTCATTGGATACGAGGTGGTAAATAACCAACGAGGCGCGAAGAGCCGAATTGGTTATAATCAATCGTGTATCCAAAAAGGGCGAATATAACAGTTGTTTTGTTAAATTGTCCATCTTTCCTTTCAAAAAATTGTATTTAATTTATCAAACGTCTACTGTAATTGTTAAGGATTCATGAAGTCGGTAAGTACGACCTCGATTCACTGTCGCACCCATTTTCCATATAAGGTCATGATCAACCTTTGGCATAATGGCCGTTTGTATACTAGAGACGTTTAAGTTGACTAAGATAAACGTTAAAGTCGTCCTGTCTAGTATAAAAACGATAAATAAGGCAGAGACATTTAACATCTGACTACTTTAACGTCGTGTTTAAGTGCGTCGTTTAGACGCACTCAACTGATGACTTTCACGACTCAGACGTTTAATGCGTCTAGTGTAAAAACGGGACACCGTAAACAGGGATGCATGCGCATTTATGCCCAACTCGTCCAGAAACGGACTTGGTAGAGTCAGTGTTTTGTCTTTTTTCAGAAAAAATTTTTTTTCACTGTTTTGTCTACTTTTATGCGTCCCGTTTCTACACCAGTCGACTTTAAGCTTTGCAGATGATAAAAATGGCCATTGGCTGATAACCGAGATCCAGCATATTTAAACCAATGGGAAAGCAGGAAAATCTTATTCTAATTCAATAATTGTTATTTATCGTGATGATAATGGGAGAAAGATATTATTGCAATTTACAAAAAATATGTTTTATAATTATGAAATCACCTAGACTGTTCACAGTCCTCTATTTTTCCGTAAGATCATCGAGATCGAGCGCTTTGTGTTACGGGCTGCCATCTTGCATGAGTGTCAAAACTAATTAGGGAGCGGGGGCGGTTTGGGAGGAAGCGACTCTCCCCCAGAGCTATAATCCCCGGTTTGGGACATTTGAAAATCAAGGTACCAGTGACGGTAAGACGCGGTATGTCTAAACGATCTCACGAAAAAATAGTGGACTGTGAACAGTCTAGAAATCACCAAAATATACAGCTTTACAAAACTAGTTTACACATGCGGTGTTAATGCAAACGCCATCTTGCAGATCTTGAGTTTTAACTTTCACGTGAAAACGATTTATTTACATAGGCACAATCATAAGCCAGAATCAAAATTTTCCCTTCCCTTAAGTACACTAACGTCGACGTTGATTTTTATTGGACACAAAGATTTTATGCTTACGTTTGTGCGGATACACTCGCCAGTATAAAAAAACCTTGAATCAATATTTGACATTTTCAAGTTGCTCATGCGAACAACAGCATCTGAGTCAGTAATGTAACATGCATTGATTTACCTTCATTGATCTTGTCAATAATTTCCGTTGCTGAAAGGGTGGGATCATCTTGAACGGTCAGAGCTTTAATACAGAAAAAAACCAAAATCATAAGCACATGTCCTATTTTTATATACATTGCAGTCTACTCTCTTAAAAGACACCTTTTTAAGACAGACACTTCGGTAAAACGGACACCTATATAGGGTCGGTCCCTGCCTTTTTTTACTCCTTTTAGTTTACTGTCTATAAAATGGACACCTAGAGTTGGTCCCTGCCTTTTTTAATCCCTCATTTTCGACTCACTATAAAACGAACATCACTCTTAGATAAGACGGACAGTTCTGCCGGTTCCAAACTGAAAGGACAATGATAGGACGTACACATAACATAGGATCAATCATAGTTAGGCAAACAGAACTTGTAGAAACCGGCCGGTGCACAGCGCGGGGCCTTTTTCAGAATCTATAGAAACACAGTGCAGATGGTTTAGGCCCCATCAACACTAATGCGGACAATAGGGAGCTTAAGCAGCGACCACGGCGACGGCAACGAGAATGGCAAAGAGCCAATTGGCAAAACAACAACTTTGCACGTGCATCACGCTTTTTTGTACATTTCTTTGCCGAGAGAGAACTTCTTCCTTTTGCAGTTGTCCAAAAGGTGGATAGCGCTATCCGCTGGATAAATCGCTATCCAGTCGATAACGCAATTGGTTTCCCAAATATATATCCGCTGGATGGTGATTTATCCGGTGGATAACGCCATCCACCGGATAAATCTCCATCCAGCGCATAGAGCAATTGGTTTCCCTAATAATGCCTATCCGCTGGGTAGTGATTTATCCGTTGGATAGCGCTTTCCAAACTTTGAACAACCCGGGCTGATGTACAAACTAACTAATGCAGGTGATTTCTTTTCGTTCTCTTCTTTTTTTTTTATGCAAACAAATACAAAAAACAGACATTATTTAAAGTGAGATACTATACCTGACCGTTGCTTGGAAATAGGAGTTCCATGAGTTGATTGAATAAGGAACATCGAAAAGAATACGAATGACATCAGCATTTTGAAGGACTTCCTTGTGCTCTTTCTCCTTCGACTTCACCTAAATGAGATCAACATAACGGATCCGTTGGTTTATACAAATCCTTTGAAGTAAAAACATATGACATTTCGCATGTTTGTTGATACAGTGTAGCATAATATAACAAAGAAGTGTTTCTTGTAATATGAATCTTTCTTATTTGTAAAGCTTGCTCTAATGTAAATAGAAGAATTAAAGTCGTACACTTTTCTTGAAACACTTTCAATCGGTGCAAACTTCAATAACTCGAAACATTTTCGAGTCAGGTTGCATAAAGCAACTTAACCTTAATTAAGTAAGAATTTTTTTCGATCCATCCTTGTTGTTCCGGATTTATTTTCCTAAGCTTTCTTCAATTTTTCCGATTTCATTTTTTGCACCACAAACCACTTACATTACAATGCGTGAACTAGTAACGTGAAAAGTCAACATTACAGAGCATTACAACATCTCTACAAAAATGAGATTCAACAATGGAGTTTCCATTCGAGAAGGATTTGTTGGAGTTTTAACCGTGCGATAATTCGGTCGTATATAGGCGGATTAAGGATATAGGGAATACGAATAAAGCCTTGTCAAAAACATAAACTGGAAAATCTTCACAGGATCTTTCGCTGCAAATATTAACTTGCTTTATGCGACCTTTCCATGATTTCTACACAACCTTTTCAGGTAAAAATGTCAGTTAAACCTGGGTGTTTAAATAACAATATTAATAAAAAAAACTTCTTTAGACATAAACAAGTGTTCGAGACCGATCGCAATACCACTTACGTTTTTTGGCAGTCAGGGTATTTCGAAAAAGGAGCTCTGACAGTGGTTCCACAGTCTAGCTCCGTAACTTGGTAATAAAATAATATTTTATGAAACTTTGTCGCGTCAAAAGCTTAATTGTTTTCAGCCTTAACACGTCGAAAGCCTTAATATTTCGCAAGCGATGCTAGAGTGTCAATTAAGACAAACATAGTGGCTTGCTCATTACTACAGTCTTAAAGAACAAGTGCTTCCTTCTCACGATGTTAAGTGTATACTGTGTAAATGTTCCATGTTGTTACTTTATAATTCAGTTTTTCAGTCACTTTATTTTGTTTCGGTATTGTTCACTATAAGCTTACTTTACAAATATAATATGCATTTCATTCCCCGGAGGGGAAGTGCACTCTAATATAAGACATATTCGTATGTGCCACCCTAAAGGGTATGGTTTTTGGGCCTTTTTGGTCTGAAAACGGGTGTACCCTTTGCACATTTTGGTCTGAAATCGGGTGTGGTTTTCGAGAGAACTACGGGAGCATATGAACGTAGTTATCATTTTAATTCCAAATGAATAAGAACGAAATAGAAATATGCGAATTCGAAATTCATTTGAAGAGTTCCTTTGTTTGCGCTCTAATCTAAGAAAGCTTAAGTAATGTTGAAATGATTTCTGCCTAAAGGCCAGGTCTGAAGAAGGGTATGGATTTTAGATGTTTGGTCTGATAATTGACTGTTCACAGTCCCCTATTTTTCCGTGAGATCGTCGAGATATAGCTCTTCTTACCAGCTGCCATCTTGCATGAGTCCCGCCCCCTCGGTACATTTTGAAATCACGATGGCCGCCATTAACGGTAAGATATCTTGACGATCTCACGGAAAAATAAGGGACAGTGAACAGTCTAGCCTGAAAACGGGTGTTGAAAATGACATTTTTTTGTCTGAAATAGGGTCAGGATTTGGAGAACCGGGCGGCACACCCTCACCAAGAATTCTCAGGAGTACACCCCCCTCCCGGGCATTTCACCTACTACTCTTAAACACTCTCACCGTAACCAGGAGACAAGGCTAGACTATCGGCGACTTTTGAAAACATGTCTATTGTTCAATGGAATATTTTAACGGTACACAACCAGTGAAATAAGTGATAGCGAAAAGAACAGTGAAATAATGACGAAAACATTATTGTAATAATAACGATTAGCAGAAAAATATAGCGTTTTATTGTCACCTCCGCCTAAAGGGTAAATGCCTTCTATTCAATTATGACAAGACAGTCCATCTCGACGCATTCGAGAAAAAAATGGTGCGAGCCCGTGGCGAAGCCAAGAAGGTCATGCCGCATTCTTAAGGGTACAATTACAATTAAAAAGATCTGTTCAGCCCTAAAGTGTCAATTCAGCCCTGCAGGCCAAACTCTGATTCAGCCCCTCCTGGAGCCATTTGAGCACAATTTAAACACTAAAAGCAGGTAAAAGCATCTCCAGCATCTCAGGGAACCAGATGGTTCGCTGGTGGTGACGTGTTAACGGCGCATGCGGAAATATAAGTCGACGCCGGTCTTTTCATGACTTTTGTTACTCTACTGTCAGTAAGACTTAGGACTAAATGTCGAACTTTTTTTTTTTCTTCGTGAAACGGCGACCAACAGCGAAAAAGCAAACACCCGCACACAAATCAGATTCAACAACGACCCCCGCAACTCAATCAACATTCAGCAACACCTTTAGGCACTCATCCGCTCCACCCGACACACAAAAGACTGAAATTCAGGCCAAATGTCGAACTTGCTACGTGACGAATCTTATGCTAATAAGGAAAATTTATCAGTGTTCTCTTTATTGTTTGTCCTATGTGAAGTTCGACGTTCGACCCTGACCTAAGGTGATCAGTTATATAAATTCATGGAATTTATACATAAGTATTTAAGCAATAGACCACACTTTCTATGGGTTTACCGGTGTGATAACGCGGGATGTTGGGAGAACACGAGAACTAAAGCTTGTAAATCACCAGCCGAAGGCGAGTGATTTACAAGCTTTTCGTCATTTCCATGGTCTATACTCTCAAAGACCGTAGCTCTCGACCAATCAGAACGCGCGCACTATCTTCGTTATTTTATAAACATTTATAAATCATGAAGCTTTTATGCCATATATCCACGTTACAGCCAAATTAACCAAAAAACGTGTTTAGCATTATGATATGAACCATGACTAACGAACCGACAATCGTATACATTTCTAACGATTTAAATGAGCTATATATGCGTTGGAGGCCGTTAGACCGAATTACCAGCACAAAATAAAGAAATAATGCAAATTTTCAAACCAAGTGATAATTGTTCTTTATAAGTTTCTTTCTTGCAATGTCATTTAACAAATCGACCACAATTTTCCGTGGTCTACACTGTCATAGATCATAGAAATGACGTCATAAAATGTTCAGAAAATGAAGTGGAACCACGAGCCGCAGGCGAGTGGTTTCACTTGAAAGTTTTGAACATTTTATGGCGTCATTTCCATGGTCTATAAGAGTGTAGACTATGGAAAATTGTGATCGATTTGTTTTTTACAATAACATTTCTTTTTAGTTTCCTGCATAGTTTCTCGGAAAATTACGCGTGACATGTTACGTCATTTCCATGGTCTACTTAACAATTAGTCGCCGAAGGCGACGTGAATATCGGCGAGTAGTCACCGAGACAAAGTCGAGGTGACTATTCGCCGATAATCACGTCGCCTTCGGCGACTAATTGTTTTAGTATAATTACATTGACGATTATTCGAGGAAACAAAATTGTTGATCAATTTCCGACTCCGAAACATAAAAAAAATCTGGCTGCCATTTTGAAAAATGTTAGCCTTCAATGTTATAATCACCGCGCGGTGATTATAGCGGGATAAAGCGAAACTGCTAGCCAATCATAGCGCTCTATTTTCGATAATCATCAATGTAATTATACTAAACTTTCATAGACCATAGCTCTCGACCAATCAGCGCGCGAAGATTCGCTCAGTTATTGTAAAATTTACTTTTTCCCTCACGTGTCCGGCATTGAAGATATCAGAGCATTTTTTGGACATCGCTGGGGCATAATTGTCGACCGGAATAAACCATGAAATAAAAGTCAAAACAATCTATAAAAACAACAAAAAAACTAGCTACAAACAGCAAATTATAGCTACTAAAAAGGAAACGGGAATTTCCAAACACTTAGCGAACAATTCTTGCAACGACCACTTAGACAAACAGCAGCGAGGGAGAGCCGGATCTTGTTGTAGATCAGGATCAGCAATACAAAATAACTTAAAATTGAAGGTAAGGCTGATTGGACAGCTAAGGGACCGTTCATTATTTTTCGCTGGAGTGGGGGGGGTGGGGGGAGGATTTGAGGTTAAACAAGGTGAAATTTAGCCGATTCCCCCTTTGAGTGTTACTTCACTGAAGTGATCCCTCTAATAAAATTTGATGACTTTCGCGTTCCCCCCCCCCAATGTCTTGATTTTCCAAGCAAACTTGAGTGGTCCCCCCTCTGAGTCCTTCCAAAGTTTTCAGTGATCCCCCCTTTTGGTTTCTCAGTTACGACTGATCCCTCCTTTTGTTCTCCTAAAAATCAATTGATCCGCCCCCGAAATTCTTCCCCCCCCCCCCGGCGATAAATAATGATCGGTCACTAAGGGTTACAAATTTATTTTTCAAATATTTCGACCAGACAAAACTTGTCTTCATCAGGGGCTAGAATTGCTAAGTTTCCAAACACTAACTGTTGTTTTTCCTAAGTACAACTGGACAAAACAAATCAAATTGCAGTCGAACCTGAGAACAGAGCTAAATTTCCACTACGGAGACCCGAATGAATGAATGAATCCGCTGGCCGACGCGGAAAAAAGTGGCCCTTTAATTATAAAAGGACACTAAAAGGAGCTGTGTGACGAAATTTAACACACTTTAAACACTGGGAACCGCCACCAAACTCGGAAAGAAACATAAAAATAACTTCTCCGCAAAACATGAAAAGAAGGTATAAATAACACAGCGAATACAAAAAAAGGAACGAATGGAAAAACTTCAAGACGATTGAAGAGGATTCCAATTGACGTTTTGAAAATTTGTGAACCTGACAGTTTTTCAAAATTCTTTTTTGTGGTTTGCAACGTTTGACTCATACATAGCTTGGGACGCATATTTGTTTGACAAGAAGCTGTGATTCACGAATAATTTCTTAAGTTAGGCATAGCAAATGAGGACTCGCAATTGGCATTATTAACAAGAAATTAAAAATGAATTAGA